TAGTCAATAAAGCAGAAATAGATGTTTTTCTGGAATTCTGTTGCTTTTTCGATGATCCAGTGGATGTTGGCAATTTGATCTCTGGTTTCTCTGCCTTTTCTAAAGCCAGCTTGAACCTCTGGAAGTTCATGGTTCACGTATTGCTGAAGCCTGGCTTGGAGAATTTTGAGCATTACTTTACTAGAGTGTGAGATGAGTGCAACTGTGCAGTAGTTTGAGCATTCTTTGGCATTGTCTTTCTTTGGGATTGGAATGAAAACTGACTTTTCCCAGTCCTGTGGCCACTGCTGAATTTTCCAAATTCGCTGACATATTGAGTGCTGCACTTTCACAGCGTCATCTTTCAGGATTTGAAATAGCTCAACTGGAATTCCATCACCTCCACTAGCTTTGTTCATAGTGATGCTTTCTAGGGCCCACTTGACCGTGGACGACTGCAATTTCGGCTTTGTTTTCTTCAAGTGTAAAAGGAGCCTCTGAATGGTCAAGATCGGTCCTCGGGGATACAGCCTGCGTCTCCCTCCTGTGACCTTTCTTTTCCCAGCAGGACAGGGAGACAGGGTGACCTCCCACCATCCCCTCCGCAGCCTCCTCTGCGGCGGCTGAGGGGCGGGGCGCTGAGGGGGCGTGTCCGAGGCGTGTCCCGGGCGGGGCCTCCTTTCCCAGGCTCTGCCGGGACGCACGGGGGCGCCGCTGGGCCCGCGCAGCTACAGGAGTTGCCGAGCAGCAGAGGAGGCGCTCACTTCCGCGTCGGGCCAGGCGGCGTCCGGCGGCGGTGGCGCCCACGGCCAGGCGGGCCGCAGGTCAGTCGGGGATACCGCCTACCCTGCCTCGCGGGGCGCCGGGTGGGCCGTAGGCCCGGGAGGCGGCGCGGCGCCCTGAGGAAGGGCCCGGGTCGCGCTGATAACACGGGCGCCTCGGGCTGCAGACTCGGCTTCCGGCCAATTCGGGATCCCTGGAATTGGTCTGTGCGGGCAGACCCCTGCGGGGCTTGGTAATGTCCCAGCCCCTCCCCGTTCGTCCAGCGTCCTGGGAGGAGCTCGAGGCCCTTGAGCAGCGTTTCTCAAAGTAGGGTCCTCTAGCGGACTCCTGACCCCACCTCATACTTTCTGAACCGGAGTCTCTATAGTGGTCGGGGAATCTGCATTTTCAGCAAGCGTCCCTGATGGTTTTGATGCAGGTGGTCACAGCACTGCACTTTGGGAATGCTTTCTTAGAGGACTGGGCACTTTTCGACTCCCTCCGACCCAACAAGGGAGTCCAAGTGGGTGCATCTGAGGATGAGGCCCTATGACTGGCCTTGAAGTGGTGATAGTCCTCTGTCTTAGGGGTTCTCTTGAATCCTTGCGCTCAGGGTGCTGCTGTGTTACTGTTGCCATCAGCAGGAGTCTTCAGATGGACAGATGTTTAGTGAGTGACGTGCCCGGGTCAGGAACCTCAGTGAGAGTGCTGAAGGAGGCTGTGTGGCATGCGGCTGGAAGAACTTGGAGCTGGTCCAGCTGTCCTGGACTGGGGCTGACTTCATCACTTAGAGCAGGGCACACATTAACAGTGTAGACCCTACACATATTCTTATATCTTTCTCCAGTGTCCTCACCTGGAGAAGGAAACGGCAACCCACTCCAGTACTCTTGCCTGGAAACTCCCCTGGATGGAGGAGCCTGGTAGGCTGCAGTCCATGGGGTTGCGGAGAGTCCGACACGACTGAGCGACTTCACTTTCACTTTTCACTTTCATGCATCGGAGAAGGAAATGGCAACCCACTCCAGTGTTCTTGCCTGGAGAATCCCAGGGACGGGGGAGCCTGGTGGGCTGCCCTCTGTGGGGTCGCATAGAGTCAGACACGACTGAAGCGACTTCGAAGCAGCAGCAGCAGTGTCCTCACCTGTCAGTGGGGACAGGAATGCCTACCCAGTAGGCCTTTTCTGTGAATTAGGTGATATCGGTCCAGGGACTCCTGCAGTGGCTGGCACATAGCACTCAGGAAATGGAAATTGTTAAGGGTGATGCTAAGGATTGGATGGCATCACCGACTCCACGGACATGAGCTTGAGCAAACTTCGAGAATTAGTGAAAGAGAGGGAAACCTGGCATGCTGCCTGTAGTCAGCGAGGTCTCAGAGTAGGACACAACTTAGCAACGGAAGAACAACAACAGAGGTGATGCAATTTATAGTCCCCCAAACCAAAGATTAGTCCAGTGGGATAATATGTGGAGAGGGGTACAGAGTATATCTGGAGAACAAAGATTCTAACTTTGCTTGGGAAGTTCCTGGAACCAGTGAGGTTTGCCTGCAGCTTTGAAGAATAGATAGGATTCCAGGGAGCTGATAACAGGGACAGCGTGAACCAGTTCCACCCCAGGCCTCAGAAGTGGTTCTTTCACGTGGATTGTTGCTGGGCTGCTGCTTGGACTTACAGGCAGTGTAGGAAGTCACATTGGTAAATGGATTTTGAAGGCTGGAGTTGGCCCATAATAGTTTCTGTCTACTGACTATGTTTCACACAGATGGTATTCCTCAGATTCTAATGGTCTCCTCCTCTTATTTCATTGGAAGTTGGCTAAATTGGAGCATCTACGAAAAGATCATAGTTGATGGCATAAGTGAATGGCCATGGACGCCATGGATGTAGTTGAGTCTCTTGGCAGCCATTTTACACTTGCTAGGAAAGGTCCAGATACATTGGGAGTGCCTTTTTCATCATGGTATTGTCTTAGGTTCTATAGAAACACTGCAGTCACCTTGGTTCACCAATCTCCAAAATGGATTAGGAAATAAAATCTATAAAATGTCTCCAAAGCTTTAGCTATTTTGGAGGGAAGAAGCCAGATGATTTACAGGTGTCATTTTGTTCCTCTAGACCAGTTTGTCTTTTAGTATACATGGAATTCTAACCTTAGTTGATAAATTATATTTGCCTAATTTAAGAATTATCGTTACCATCGTTAGTAATGTCTGCTCTCTGGAGCCAATATAACATCTTTCAGTATATACCTTCTGGTAAATTTTTATATCATTATAGATGCTATTTATCATTTATTGAGTACTTACTCGGAGCCAGAGACTGTTCTACATACTTTTTAAGTTTTCTGTCAGTCATTCCTCTGATAGTCCTTTAAGGGAGGCGTCATCCTTACCTCCAATTTAGACATGGGGAAACAGGCAAAGGAAGATTAAGTTTGCCTAAGGTCCCAGGCTAGTTAAGTCGTAGTGTCTAGTAGCCCGATTCCATGCTACATGCTCATAATCTCTGCAAGTCTACATTGCTCCCTAAGACTTACTGTAGTTTGCAAAGATGTGTGAATACTGGAGGTCTTAAGCACACCTCACCTATGCTCTAAATGTAACAATGCATTAGTTATCTCATTTAATTCTTTAAGTGGTCATTTCAACACCTCGATTTGGTTATTATAGTTTATTATCATTTACATACTTGGGGACAGAGTTTTCCAGCTTCTCAGAATATCTGAGACTTCTTTTCTGTTATATAAAATCCTTCAATTCAGTATTGCTCGTGCTGAGGAATTTGTTTAAAATCACATCTGACTGTATACTTTTTAATCTATTTCATGTATTATTGGAAATGTCAATGGTGATTGTCCTTTGTTTTTACAGAGGGGGACTGAGACCACATTGTTTTGCAGTTTCTGAAAGTATTTCAAGGCAGAACTTTGGGTGTTGAAGAGAGCGATGGAAGGTCACAAGGCAGAAGAAGAGGTGTTAGATATTCTCCGACTGAACGTGGGTGGCTGCATTTACACAGCCAGGCGGGAGTCCTTGTGCCGCTTTAAGGATTCAATGCTGGCATCCATGTTCAGTGGTCGCTTCCCTTTAAAAACAGATGAATCAGGTAAATGCCTCAAGTCTGTAAGCATGATCATGAATATTCATTAAAACAGGAGTCTAGTTTAAATTCCCTTTAATTTTTCTAATTACAACAGGATGTATTAGCTCAGTATGCTGATTACTAAGATCATTAGGACTGTATGGAGTTTCATTAAGTACCTGGAGAAATTAAATACCAGTTTCTAGAATCTGTGATGCTGTCGCTAAAAGTTGACAAAAAAGTGAATGTATATAAAGGTCAAAAAGTGAAACTATCCAACTCTTTGCAGCCCCATGAACTGTAGCCTGCCAGGCTCCTCTGTCCATGAGATTTCCCAGGCAAGAATATTGGAGTGGGTATCCATTCCCCTCTTCAGGGGATCTTCCCAATCCAGGGATTGAACTCCGGGTCTCCCGCGTTGCAGGCAGATTCTTTACGTCTGAGCTACCAGGGAAGCCCGTATACAGTCCAACAATGGACCTGGTTTGGGGGGTTAATTATATTTGGAAAGGAGTTACAGTCATGCAACTCAGTGGGTCTTTGTGTTGAGCTTGATTAAATATATTAGCTTCTGTATATGTTCTTCAAGTTAAAAATTGTGTTTTTTGGAGGAAGCAGCTGCCTTCAGAGCTGAGGGCAGGCATTGTCAGTGCAGAATTAGTGTTAAATTCACTCCTAGTCCAGCTGCAGAGGCTTGTGTGGGCTGACATGCATGCCACGGAAAACGTCAGTGCGGTGATACTGTCAGTCATGCGTGGGAGAGGACTGAAAACTGGTGTTTCAGAAGAAACTGTAAAACGCAAGGATTAGGGTCCTAGTGCTGCTCCATGCTTCAGGTGTTTGGGGTTCACTGAACCTACTGCTGGTTGTAAAAAAAACTTCAGCAATGCAAGTAGGGCTTTTTGTATATCTTAGGAGTTTTGGGGCTCAGAACACCCACTCTTGCTTCTGTTAGGTTGAGGAGTTCTGAGCCTGAAGGGCTGTTAGTAACCCTGGGTCTTGAGAGCTCGCTTTGCCAGATGAATGGCAGTTGAAAGAATGGAAAACTCACTGGTGTGTGGTGCCCAGGACTTGACGTCCATCTGGACAGAAAGGCTGTGGTGAAAAGGTGGTCAGCGGGAAGTGAGTTGTTTCCTCTGCCCCAAAGTTTATACCTCCTTAATCCTTTTATTCTAAACTAATCAAGGGAGAAAAGGAATTATTGAATAACCTCATGGTGGTGGTTTAGTCACTAAGTCGTGTCTGAATATGACCTCATGGATTGTAGCCTGCCACACTCCTCTGTCCATACAGAAGTATTTTTTAAAAAATTCTGCTGAATTGTCTAAGAAAAGCCCTTTTTCATAAAGTAGTACCCACATAGCATTTCTCTTTTAAAGTTTAGTACAAAAGGACAAGCCTAGTAAGTCCAAACATATGATGTGGCCAAGTCTTGGAACCATGGGTTTATATGTCAGTGACACTCCAAGTTGATTTGTATGATCACCGACATACAAACGCCAGACATAGTAACGAGCACTCACACACCCTCATTAGGGAAGAACGCCATACGCCTCTCCTGGCCCAGCCGGGCTGAGGTTAGGGGTAAACTTAGAATTCTACCAGCAGTCTGAGGCTCCCACGGTCTTTGCAGTGGCCAGCAGTGGGAATGTGGTCATTGTATCCAAAATTCCTGATGGAGCTCAGAATACATTTTCCTATATAGTAGGTGCAAATACAGAGAATCCCCAAATTTGACTAAATCTACTTGAACACAAGATATTAACTTTCTTATGAGAAAGAAACACTTCTTTCTTTTTTTTTTTTTAGCACTCAGTGTTCGATTTATTTGCAAGATGTCACACAAGTAGCATTCTCCCCTGTTTTTCACTGATTTGAAACATTTCTACTTGTAGAGGTCTTCAGTCTAATTTTAGTTTGACATGTTGAAACTTTATCATGGTTATTTGTATCTATGCAATAATTTTCGAACTGAATGTTTTCTAGGAGCTTGTGTTATTGACCGTGATGGACATCTATTTAAATACCTTTTGGATTATCTTCATGGAGAAGTTCACATTCCCACAGAGGAGCAAACCCGGGTTGCTCTGCAGGAAGAAGCTGATTACTTTGGCATCCCTTATCCATACAGCCTGTCTGACCACTTGGCCAATGAAATGGAGACATATTCTTTAAGGTCAAATATAGAACTTAAAAAGGTCTTGGCATTTTCTTAAGCTTTAAAACACATACATGAATATATAGTATTCATTTATTATACATTTATTATTCACAAAGCAGTGTATGTTATTTTGCATAGCCTGTGTTGTAACATAAACCAAAATGAGACAGTTTTACATCTTACAGTTTTTGAAGTCGTGTTTCTTAATTACCAGTATTCATTTTTTTAAGGCCAAAATTCTATTCTAGGAAAGTATATTACAAAGCCACTCAAAGGTTTATGGAGTTTTTATTCCTTATTGAAAATTTACCATTCTTTGATGGCTTTTTATTTTTAAAAATAGAACTCTTCTACTCTTGAAGTTCTCCTTAAATTAAGAGCAGCACTGTAGTATGTAAAAATATAGTGGTAATAATTTCTTTCCCAAGATGATATTTTAAAAGGATAAATGTGTTAGTTGCTTAGTCGTGTCCAACTCTGTGACCTCATGGACTGTAGCCCACCAAGCTCCTCTGTCCATAGAATTCTCCAGGCAAGAATCCTGGGGTGGATTGCCATTTCCTCCTCCAGGGGATCTTCCTGATCCCGGGATTGAACTCATGTCTCCAGCATTGCAGGCGGATTCTTTACCATCTGAGCAACCAGGGAAGCATAATTTTAAAAGGATGGTGATGATAAATAAAAGATTGTATAAAATCTTTCACCTGATTGAATGAGTGTAGCAGTTGATTATTAAGTTGAAATATGTTTGATTAGTTCACCTTGAGATCAGTAAATCTTTTTTTTTTAAGCTGCTTCTATTTTAAATCACATTTTAAAGGTGTTTACATGACTTGAACAGCTTCATCTGTTTTTTTCTCATTAATAAGTATCATATTTGTTGTTAATTAGCACTTTGGGGCATTTAAGAAAAATATTTTTCCTAAATAATTGTGCATAGTGAAAACTGGTCTGAATTGGTCTGAATTCTTTTGACTTAGACGTCAGTGTTTAGGAGAGCAAGTTGATGGTATAGTTACTAGGAATGCAACATGAAGAGAAAGTTGATTTGGTTCCAGATCCCCTTCGGAAATTTGCATGGTTTTATAAATTCTGCTACTGGACTTATTTATAAATTGAGTTGTTAAACAGTCTCTTGGTACTGTTTGTCGAATCTGCAGAGTGGGGCTAAAAAAATTCCTAACTGGGGTTAGTTGGGGTGGATTAACATTCACCTTTATAGTCTTTCATTCCTGGTTTGTATGCACAAAGGACAGAGCATGCATACGTTCATTCTGCCAGCCAACTCATTTGTTTCACATAAGACACTGCTCTGAGGACTGTGTGGGACATGCAGTTTTTGCCCTTGAACAGTTTATAATGTAGTTGATGATTTTCACTGATGTGCAAGTGAAGATAAAAGCCAATTCAGGAATTAGATGGCAATATTAAATGCAACACACATTAGGATCCTGTTTTCCTTCTCTGAGTCAGTAAATAGTAAGCATCTCCTTTGTGTCAGACCCTTTTCTAGGCACTTGGGATACAGAACCAACAAAACATCATTGTTCACAGCAGTAATGCCATTTCTCCTGGGGAAGGCCCGAGCCACCCCACGGGGGAAGTCCTTTTGCTCTGTGCCCCTCAGCACCTCGTAGGCTTACCTGGTAGGACTTATTACACTGTGTGCTGATGACTTATTTAGTGTCTGCCTTCTGCATCAGCTATAAATTGAGGAGGGCTGGGACCCTGTCTCCAGGACCTTACACACATAGTATTCACACATCACTGAGTATTCAAGTGACTGAATGAATAGGTAGATAAATGCCAAATGAGTTCAGACCATAGGCATTTAGTTTCATATATTCATATCCTTCAGTGTGAAAGAATAAGTTAATCTGGTTCATCCTCGATTGGATTTTGAGTTCAGAATAAGCGTCTACCATTGGGTTAGTGAATAGAAGGTAAAAGGAAAATTTAGTCAAATGGAAAATTTGGAGGGAAAGAAAGAATTCTAACTTCTAGTGATCATATGAAGATTTTAAAATGATGTTGGTAGTGAGTCTAGAGGAGGAGGAAATGAGGCATGATTTCCTAGTGGAAAAGGATTCTCTAGATGAAAAGGTGTTGGATTTTGGGATAGTGAAATGCCACCCCAAATTCAACAAACGGTTTGGTTTTTAAAGGCATAAAAAGTAGATTATATGTTTAGTCTTTTTATTTCCCTCACAACCAAGTGAAATTATAGCTTTACAGGAAAGTAATAGGACAAATTCATTTTTACTTTGCTCCAGAGTTAAATTCAAACTTTATATATATATATATATTTTTTGCTCCAGGCTTTAACAGACTTCTGTGATTCGTATGGTTTAGTATGCAATAAACCAACAGTTTGGGTTCTCCACTATCTTAACACATCTGGTGCAAGCTGTGAGAGTAGGATTATTGGTGTATATTCCACAAAAACTGATGGAACAGATGCTATTGATAAACAGCTGGGAGGAAGAATTCACAGTAAAAGCATTTTTAAAAGGTATGTCCATATTTAAATATGAAAAGGAGCAAAATAAAATCTTGGTCTCTCCTAAGAGGTCTTATTGAATTTAATATGTGGTTGACTAGGAAAGACCATCAATACTTCTCAAAAGACAGAGTGAGTCTCATAGCTGTTGAGATAAGCCTGCTTCATGAAGAGATTGCAATTCAGACCGTTTGTTATCTGTAGAAGCAGTAGGCCATCCACCTGGTCTTACAGAGGTTCTCAGCTGGGAATAGTGATCAGAATCCCCTGGAAGGCCTTGTACAGAGAGAAAAGAAAGAAGAGAAGAGCCACATGCCTGGGTGTCTCCCCTAGACTACAGTCCACGAGCAGAAGCCTGACCTGGAAGTCAGCAGGTTCCCCGAGTGACCCAGGACTGACCTGCGTCTTGGTGTCCTGGTTTAAGAAATACCGGGAGTCAGACAGGACTGAGCACTGGACTGAAAGGCTTTTCATCCAGTCCCGTCCCAACTTGAAAATGCTGTACCTTGAGCATGTTAAATTCTTAAGGGTTATTCTGTTAATGTTTTCCTTGTAATCTTATTTATACTGGTCAATTCACCTAGCAATGTTTTTTTTAATTTTATGGGAGATTGGATTGGGTCACATATTAGTGACTAACGCATGACCACATGAGCTTGCTTTTTAGACAATTAATATATCATCATTTTCTGAATTCTTTACAGACAGATGTTTGTAGATAAGTACATGGCATAGTGTTAGAAAAGTTTTAGTCAAAGTTGAACCTTTTCTACTTTGCTGGAGCTAGGTGATTTTTTTAGAAAACTTATTTTAAAGACTTATTAGTTTGTCTACACAGTTATATTGTGTAGTTAACAAAGACTTTGCCACAGTAAAAAGAGATAAAATGTATGTAGATTAGTATGTAAGTTTAGTATATTATAATAATATAGCATGTCATATGCTTAACGATCCCAGAAGAACAACTACTCAGTACTGACGTATTTTTTTCCCTTAATTAGCAAGCACTTATTAAGTATCTTATTTGCTGTATACATATACATACATTCATACTTAGGTAGTATATTTTCATTACCTTTTGTGATATTTCTAGGGAGGCGGGAAATAATGTTCAGTACATTTGGAGCTATTATTCAGTAGCAGAATTGAAGAAAATGATGGATGCCTTTGATGCCTGGGAAGGAAAAGGTACAGTACAATTTTTCTATTTCAAGGCGGAAGGTAGACTTTTCCTTAATAAGACAAAGCAAGGTCACATACTGCATTGCTTTTTTAGAGAAAAATTTTTGGTGTGGGTCCAGGTATTTGTCACCTCATAGTAACATTGAGGCCGTTTACTTGAAAATTTTTAAAACGCATGCATTGCTGGATATTATTAATAATTTATAGTTCAGTAACCTAAAATACACTTTTGTTAGTTATGCTTATTTAATTCAATTTAAAAAGAGTTCCTGTAGCACCTTTTGGGTACCTTGCATTGTCCTAGGAAGTATACATCTGCATTAAGCATAAAATGTATAATCAAAAGGAGAGGGAGAGAGAGAGAAAATGAAAATAATGCTGGGAAGATAACTAAAGAGCCCTTAGAAAATAAAATATTCTTTAAATGCACGCTTTGAAATTTGACCATTTTTACCAAGCTGCTAATGTGAGTTGATAATAATACTGCTATTTGATATGCAGTGTGATACATAGTTGACATTTAGTATCTGTTAGTCCTAAAACTATGTGCTGTTTACCATTTATTGATGAGGAAAAGGAGGCTCAGAGAGGCATGCCACTTGTTAAAGATGGCAGAGAGTTAACTGTTCTATGATTTAAGTATTTTTGTCGTACTTAACATGTATTGATGTCTGTTAGGTGCAAGCACTATAAGTCCTAAAATTATCCAAAGATAAATAAGACACATATTATTAGTCCTCAAATGATCTTAAAAGCTGGTAGAGATGACATTGCAAGCCACATAAGATTGAATAGAGAACAGAAGAGCCTTTTAAAACAATTGTTCCTCTTCAGGCAGGATGCTGGTCCAAATCTTTTTTTCCTCAATTCCCCCCCCCCCACTTTTCCTTCTTTTTCTTTTCATATCATGCGCCTCAAACAGATAAGATGAAGTGTAATGAGCAAAGTGTTATTCTCTCTGAGCTTATTGCTGCTGCTACTGCTAAGTCGCTTCAGTCGTGTCCGACTCTGTGCGGCCCCATAGACGGCAGCCCACCAGGCTCTCCCGTCCCTGGGATTCTCCAGGCAAGAACACTGGAGTGGGTTGCCATCTCCTTCTCCAATGCATGAAAGGGAAAGGGAAGTCGCTCAGTTGTGTCCGACTCTCAGCGACCCCGTGGACTGCAGCCCACCAGGCTCCTCCGTCCATGGGATTTTCCAGGCAAGAGTTCTGGAGTGGGGTGCCGTTGCCTTCTCCGTCTGAGCATATTCCGTGAGACTTAATTGACTTGAGACACTTGGGCTTAAGTTGAGGAACGGCCCCCTGGCGTTCTCAGTCTCCCTTTGTGCCCTGGACTGGCAGGTGCCCAGGCAGCTTCGGGAGGGCCTGGCTGGACTCCTTCTCCACGGACCCAGAGAGCTGGGTCTCCGACTCTCACAAAGCATGTGTGTGTGACGGACTTCATGTTATAAAGTATTACTGTTATCTTACAAAAGTTCTGGAAGGCCTGTGGAAAGCCATAATACAGGAAGCAAGTGAGAGAAAGAAGAAAGATGAAAGAAGATGAAAGTGAAACAAGGTGTGGAAGTGTTAGCTGCTCAGTCGTGTCCGACTCTTTGTGACCCATGGACTGTAGCCCACCAGGCTCCTCTGTCCATGGGACTTTCCAGGCAAGAATACTGGGGTGGACTGCCATTCCCTTCTTCAGGGGATCTTCCTGACCTAGAAATCGAACCCGGGTCTCCTGCATTGCAGGCTGATTCTTTACTGTCTGAGTCACCAGGGAAACTCTAAGAAAGCCTTAAATAAATAAGGATAATAAAATATCCAATAAAAAAATATCCAATAAATATCCAATAAAAAAGGATAGGTTGTTTGAGAAATATGCTTGGGAGAAGAACATAACTTTAACCTCACAGCATTTATCAAAATACTACCAGGTAAATTTATGAATGAAAAATGAAACTTTTATAAACTAATAAGATATAAGCAAATAACTGATTTCTTAATTGGAAAAGAAATTATAAGCTTAAAATGAAACATAAAGACAAAGATAAATTTGCTTATAAAATATTTAATTATTTAAAGCATAAAACATTATAAATAAAATTTTAAAACTAATTAAGAAACTTGCAAAAAAAACTTGCATTAAAGTGTTACATTAAGCAACGATTATCCTTACAATAGAGAATTTATTTAAATTGACTAGAAAATCAGTTCAGCCCTATTACAAATAAAAGTATAAGATTCATGACCATAAAATTCCCAGAAAAGGAAACAAATGTGGCAGAGGTTCAAACTCATTGTTAATGAAATATGCATTAAATGAGAACTATTTTTATGTACCAGATTAGTAAAGATCTCACGCATTCTTGGCAGGAGTAAAATTAATATTACTTTTTTGGAAATAATTTATCAGTATATATCAATAGCATCGATATTGTTCATATGTCTTGACTCAGTAATTCTACTTCCTGAAATCTACCATACAGACACAATCAAATGCAGAAAAAGGCTTATGAACAGAGATGTTCAACTAGGCATTACTCACAATAGGGAAAAAGTAAAAACAATATAAATGTCTATAATACAGGGCTAAATACATATTGGCACATCCACAGGATATAGATGGGATACAGCTGTTAGAATTACTTTGAATAACTTTCTACACTGATGAGTGCCTATGATTAAGAAATGGTCAAAAGTAGGAAACAAAATTAAATATAATGTGTTTTCAATTATGTGCATATCATATGAATAGAAAAAAGACTCGAATGAGGTACATCAAAATGTCATGAGCCATAACTCCTAATCCCTTAATTAGAAGTGATTTTTATTTTTTATATATGCTTTTCTATATTTTCCAAGTTTTATACAATGAGCATGAATTATATAGGAAAAAATAAGTTTTAAAAACAGTTTGCGGTATATCCATATAATGGAGTTCTACTCAGAAATAAAAAGAAATGACTATTGATACATATACAAGCATAGATGAATCTTCAAAGCATCGCGCTAAAGAAGCCGGACACAAAAGGCTACACACATAGTGTATGATTCCGTTTATGTGACCCTCTGGAGAGGGCAAAACCAAGGAATGGAGGGCAGGGCGTTGACTGTAGAAGGGCACAAGGGAACTTTTGAGGGTGGTAGAAATGCTGTATATTTTGACTGTGGCCATTGTTACATGACTGTACACGCTTGTCAAAACTCAGAGGACTTAAAAAGGGTAAATTTTATTTTATGTAAATTATATTTCAATAAGCCTGACTTAGAGATGAAAAATTACTGGATGAGATTTAGGGATGTTTTTGTGGTGTTTTAAGTAGGCTTGGGAGTATGATCAAGCAGTTCTAGAAAGTTGTCGTCTTAAAATGAGGTCCACAGACTTTGATTATCGGATACGTCTATTATGTATATAATAATTTACGGGCTCACCTTGCTAAGTTGGTTGTTATTACTGGACCTTTAATGATTAAAAAGAAAACGCCAAGTTCTTTCTTGGGATTTAAAGATTACTTTTGTTTTTAATGCTAAGCAATTTTTATTCAGCATCATTCTTTAAACTTTTTCTAATGTGTCTATGTGTAATTTTTATGGTTCTTTTTTTTTTAATTGAGGTGAAATTCACATAACATATATATTGAAATATATATTCTTATGTGAAATTCACATAAGAATTAAAGCACGCATTTCAGTGACATTTGCTACACTAATAGTGTGTGTAACCAGCACCTCTGTTTATTCCAAAACATTTCCTTCACCCTAAATGAAACCCAGTATCTGTTAAGCAGTTACTGTACATCACCCTCTCCCCTCAGCCCCTGTCAACCACCAGTCTGCTTTCTGTCTCAATGGGTTTGCATATTCTGGATTTTTACATAAATGGAATCCTACAATATATGACCTTTTGTGTCTGGCTTCTTTCACTTAGATAATGTTTTTAAGTTTCATAAGAATACATTTTCAGCTTTAAATCAGAAACGTATCAAACAAACCATTACCTATAGAATAGATAAACAACAAGGTCCTATCGTTCTGTATCCTGTGATAAACATAATGGAAAAGAATATGAAAAAGAATATATACATATATATGTATAACTGAATCACAGTTGTGCAGCAGAAGTTAACACAACATTGTAAATCAAGTATCCGTCAATAAAATAAATTTTAAAAAGAAACAGCAGATTTAAAAACTAAGTGATTGGAATCTTGGCTTACCGTATTAACTCAGATTATTCTGTTTTCTGTATTCTGATTTCTTTAAAAAGATCTGTTTACTTAATTTTGGCTGTGCTCTGTTCATCGCCGCATGTGGGCTCTCTCTAGTTGCGGCGAGCAGGCTTCTCATTGTGGGTCCTCCCTTGCTGTGGAGTTCAGCCTCTAGGCACGTGGGCTTTAGTAGTTGTGGCATGAGGACTCTAGGGTGCTGGCTTAGTAGTTGTGGATCACGGGCTGAGTTGCTCCCTGGCATGTGGGAGCTTCCCAGACCAGGGGTTGAACCTGTGTTTCCCACACTGGCTGGTGTATTCTTAACCACTAGACCACCAGGGAAGCCCCTCAGATTATTCTTGTTTGAACAGGTGCCTATAAAGTATTGACACCTCCTATTCGTATAGTGGTTGCCTTTTATAGAGTGGTTCACAAAATTTATCTGAATTGATGATCACAGCAACCTAGTGAGGTAGAGAGGGCAAGTGTTAGAACCCCCACTGTTCAATCTTTTCATGTTACTACCAACACGGTGACTTACAGTAAAGGCAACCAAACATCTCTTGAGTGCTAAGTCTGTGCCAGGCCTTGTTCTAGGCATTTTGCTTTTATTTTCTCATTTAATCAGCACAGCAAGGTTTGAATTCTCATCATCATTTCACAGATGAGGAAATTTAGGCACAGAAAAGTTGTTAAGTTTCGCAAGGTGTTAGGATTAGCGAATGATAGAAATGGGATCCAGACCCAGGCAGTCTTGGCTCCAGAGCCTGTGGCCTCAGCCAGCATACACGCAGTTGCCCAGGTCTGTACAATGACCTGCTGATTGTCAGTGGCGGAGCTGGGCTGGTAGCCAGCTCTTCATAGACCCAGGTCATGAGCCGTGTCCCTGCTGCCCTGGCTCTTCATGGGAGCTGCTTCTGTGTGTGCTCTCCTTTGTTAAACCGGAGGCATGAACTTTAAGGTTTTCCTGGCCAGTTTTATACCAAACAATGTTGCTGAAACTTCGGCAGTGGACAGTGGTTCTCTAAATTGTCTTTTATCTTCCAGGTGTTAGCTACTGGCGGGTGCCTCACGAGCTGATAGAATGCTGGACTCTGGAAGAGCGCCCTTTACTTGGAAGCCTGAGTCACATGGCTCCAATTCGAAAGAGGTTATTTATTCTCTGTTGGTTTATTATTATTAATCTGTCACCTTTATTTTTGCTGCCTTTATTGGGGGAATAAATAATGGATCTTAACCTCACTGAGCTTACTAATCACCTTGATAAATATTCTGACTTACTGTCAAAATATAAATCTTGATAAATGCAAAGTTACCAGAACTATTTTTTTTTTTTACCAGAACTATTTAAAAGTAGAAGTAATTCTTTGAAACTGAGTTATATGGTTTATTACTATTATTTGGGGGAGAGTCTGATTTTAAAAATACTATTGGACACAGTGGGAATGCTGTGGTATTTTTCCCCACTAAAGTGAAATCTCAGGCTTTGTTGGCACTAGTTAAAAAATGTATTAGACTTAATATTTGAAACTTCCTGTGATTTACTCTGAATTCTTTTCTGTAACCACAAATAATAACATTTTTATTTAGTAGTATTTTCTTATGTTCTATGAAATAATTAGCATTAAATTCACTGCACATCTGTGTCTTTCACTGTGCTTTACATACATTTAAAATTATTTCATTGCATTGTCTGGGTATTATTCGTGCCTTTCAGATGTTCTAATTTCTTGATCAGCTATTTTAGACTTTGTTTCAGTGCTCCTATGAAATTTCAGACTGCTTTCTTTTACTCTCTGAATCTTTCACAGACATGCAGAGACTTTTACTTAGTTTTTAGTATTAATCATATATCATTAAAACAGATCTTTTTTATTAAGGGCTCTCATTTTATTATCATTATTTCTTTTGCCATTTGAACTTACAGCAAGCAGATATCACTTGGGTCTAGAGCAGTGGTTCTCAACCAGAGGCAGTTTCGATATCCAGGGGATATATTTGGCAATTTGGAGACACCGTAGGGTGGGGGAGGCTGCTGGCATTTTAGAGGGTTGCTTGCTAGAAGGCAGGGCAGCCCCTCGCAGCAAAGAATTATGGCACCCTCAATGGCAATAGTGCTAAGGTGGAGAAGGACTGGACTGGAGTTCAGTGGAAGATGTATACAAAATACAAAGCAAACAGAAAGGGTTTTATGGAAGTTCTCCTCTGTGTTAGTTGTCTTTCCTCTGGGATTTTATCAAGCATTATTTTGGATTCATGGTCAAGATAGTGATAATGATGACTTAGCAGCACTTGTGAGGTCCCAAAGAACTATTTTTCACCTACAAAATTTCAGTTATGTTCAGTGGAGTTTAAAGGTCAAATATATTCGCAGTTTTCATATCAGTATGCTATTATGATTCCATTTCTAAGAATCTGATGTTATGTATAGCTACTCCAGCTTTCTTTTGGTTTTTTGTGGAATATCTCTTCCCATCCCTTCACTTTTAGTCTGTGTGTGTCCTTCCATCTAGAGTGAATACTTTGTGGGCAGCATATAGATGGGTCCTATTGTGTGAACTGTTCAGCCGCCCTATGTCTTTTGATTGGGGAATGCAGTTTGTTTTCACTTAAAGTAATTATTGATAGGTATTTATGTACTTAATTCCCCTGAAGTAGGAAATGGCAACCTGCTCCAGTATTCTTGCCTGGAAAATTCCATGGACAGAGGCGCCTACAGGCTATAGTCCATGGGGCCGCAAAGAGTCAGAACATAACTCAGTCAGACTGAGCACACATGTACTTATTTCCATTTTGTTAAGTGTTTTCTGGCTGTTTTTGTAGCTCCTCTCTGTGCGTTTCTTATCTTGCTCTCTTCCTTTATGGTTTGATAACTTAAATCGTACCACTAAAAGAAAGTTATCAAACCATAAATCTCAATATTTGTACTATCCCATGCCATGTTTTATGTTTTTGATATTATATTTTTATACTGTTTCTTAACTGATTATTTTAATCATAGTTATTTTTATTACTTTTGACTTTTAACCTTTATATCAGCTTTAAGTGATTACTACCTTTACTACATATTTACCTTCCCAGTAAGATTTATTCTTTCATATGTGTTCTTGTTACTAATTAGTGCCCTTTCTTTTAAGCTTAAAGAAGTCCCTTTAACATTTCATGTAAGGCTGGTTTCAGTTCAGTTCAGTTCAGTTGCTCAGTTGTGTCCAACTCTTTGCAACCTCATGGACTGCAGCACGCCAGGCCTCCCTGTCCCNTGATTCCAGCTTGTGCTTCTTCCAGCCCAGCATTTCTCATGATGTACTCTGCATATAAGTTAAATAAGCAGGGTGACAATATACAGCCTTGACGTACTCCTTTTCCTATTTGGAACCAGTCTGTTGTTCCATGTCCAGTTCTAACTGTTGCTTCCTGACCTGCATACAGATTTCTCAAGAGGCTGGTTTAGTGGTGATGAACTCCTTTAGCTTTTGCTTGTTTGGAAAACTATTTCTCCTTCAATTCTGAATAGTAACTTTACTGAGTAGAGTATTCTTGGTTGGATTTTTCTTTCTTTTACCACTGTGACTATATCATGCCGCTCCCTTCTGGCTTGCAAAGTTTCTGCTGAAAAAAATCTCTCGATAATCTTATGGAGGTTCCTTTGTATGTAACAAGTTATTTTTCTCTTGCTGCTTTAAGATTTTCTCCTTTAACTTTCAACATTTAATTATAATGTGTCTTAGTGTAGGTCTCTTTGGCTTTACCTTATTTGGAATTCTCTGGGCTTCCTGGATCTGGATGTCTCTTTCCTTCTTCAGCTATGTAATTTTCAGCTATTATTTATTCAAACAAGATTTCTTCTCCTTTCTCTCTTCTTCTGGGAGCCTTGTAATGTTGATGTTAATTTGATGTTGTCCCATAAGTCCCTTCAGCTATCTTCAATTTTTTCATTCTTTTTCTTTCTACTGATCTGATTGGGTGAATTCCACTGCCCTGCGTTTGAGTTGAGTGATTCTTTCTTCTGCTTCTTCTGGCCTGCTGTTGAACCCCTGTAGTATATTCTACAGTTCAGTTATAGTATTCTTCAGCTTTGTGATTTCCTTATATTTTTCATAGCTTTGTTGAAGTTTTTCACTGTGTTCATTCATTCTTCTCCCAGTTCGGTGACCATTTTTATGACCATTATTGAACTCCTTATCAGCCAAATTACTTTATGTTTCTCTAATGCCTTTTGGTGAGGTTTTATCTTGTTCTTTCATTTGAAACATTTTCCTCAGTTTTTTCATTTTAGTTGATTCTCTGTGTTGATTTCTGCACAGCAGATGAAACAATCACCTGTCCACCGATGTTCCCACTTTAGGCTTTTGGTAACTCAGTTCAGGAATCTCTGAAGGTTTGTCCGATACTTCTCAAATTCGAAAAGCATCTGACTGTACCGTGGGTTTTACTAGTCTAGCAGTTCCCAGAATCTGTTCTGTAGCATGCTAATTTTATTGGGTGCCAAAGGTTACATTACAGAATGCTTGGTAAATGGAATCAACAAAGCTAAACAGGTGTCTTTACTATAGAATCTTTGTTAACATAGAGTTTAAAACTTCAATAGAATAAAATACACACTTAGCATTTCTCAAGTTTATTTGTGAAACCCTTTTTTTTCCTTAGTAAATCTCTTGCAGCTGTTTTTCTGGGAAAAACAACTTGGGACACTCCTGGTTATCCTCTGGACATTGCATCAGGCTTTGTGAAAACAAGTGACGTGTTGTATAATTCTAGTGTAACACTTCAGATTTTAACTTACCGTTGGTATTAATATTATTCAGGAGTTTAAAAGAGTGTATTTAAATTGAAACAATCTTCTGCAACCTTGCTAATTTATTTATTGACCTTGGTGGGCAATGAAAGATGAGGTAGGTAGGTTGATACTGCTAAACCTCTTGACTCAAATTCTTGACAAAAACCTCTTTGTTCACCTTGAAGTTAAACTTTGGAGACGTTTTCATTAGCTATTAAAACTGTAAATGCTGACAAGGACCCACTTCTGTATTTACAGGCGACTAACAGCAGCCAATGACGAGGAAGAAGAAGGCGCGAACTATAAGACCGGACCTAAACCAGTCCGATTTTTGGGTCCTTCCACCAGCACCCAAATTAAGGTCAAGAACTCTGCTTCCGTCAGGGTATCTCCGGGCAGTGCCCCCCAACCCTGGCCCCGGGCCACGCCAACCCTGGCTGCAGGAGGAAGGGCGGCTCGGCGCCCTGCGCAGTCCAAAGCGCCAGCGCCGGCGGGGACCGGGCTGCCCGGGCATCCCCGGACAGCACAGGGGACTGGGGCTGCTGAGAACGGGGCCGCGCCCCTACCTCCGGCTAAGGTTCTGCTCTCGGACAAGACGGCCACCCCGCACCGAGTGATCAAGCTGAAACGGACTCCGCTGTGCGCCGCCGGGTCTCCCCCGCCTGCCTGCACCACACCCAGGCCGGGGGGTCCCCCGGATCCGCCCCCTGATGCCCTCAGCCCGCGGGGCGCGTGGACTGGGAACGGGCAGGACCAGACCGAGTGATGGAAAAGGGGACTCGGGATGTCCCGTTTGCCTCTCCAAGCTTCCAGCCCGTTAACACAAATAAGCAGCTCTCTTTCCCAATACTGTCCAGGTGAACACTTACGTTTCTATTTAGGATGATCAGTGTGAAGTAGGAATGGAGGAGGGAGACTGTAAGTGGTTGGGCCTATGTTTACTTCTCATTTTCCCAACGTTTAAATTATTTGTTGAGGGACAGTTTTAATTTCAGGTTTTTTAATGTGTAGGTTTTTTTTTTATGTTTAATTGGTATTAAGGCAACAAAACAGCTGGGCAAAGTCAAACCTAGGACGTCTACTTTGTTGCTGAAATAATTATAGGTTTTAGGCACTTATTTGATGTTACTCATTGCAGTGGAGAGGTAAAAGTGAAATTTGAGCTCTGCTCTTCCTGCCGGTGAAATAGAGAGGGTGATTTAGTGCTTCCCTGTGCTACCTGCCAGATGGGGAAGATTTGAGAGAAAATGTAGATCAAGGTGAACTCCCTGTAGGTGACTCTCAGACTCAAGAGGTAACATGGAAAGAAATGATGGGGAGGGAAAAAAAAAAAGTAATCTGAGATCACATTTTGACTCTCACTTAATGGAACAGTTTTCTTTCCTGGATTGGCTTTCCTTACTCTTTTTCCCTTAGCAGATTTATTTTATACATCACAGGAAGATTTCTTGGGTTTAGAATTATATAACATGTTTTTGGACTGAATTGTTACAAGTATTTTATTTTCATTTGGATCGTGAAGTTTTGAAAGTACTTTGAAAAAGAAAAAAAAATTCAACTTTTAAACTAAAGTTAATATTTTTTTTCCAGAAATGACTATTAAAGAGTTACTCTGGTTATACAATATGGTTTTTATGCATAAAATTTCCACATAATTTGAATTTAATATTTTAAAACAGTATTTTGATTAATCTTCTATTTTTTCACAGTTCAGTTGTATGTGTTTGCACATACTGTTATGTTTTGTAATTGGATCACACATTTCTATCTTAAGTGAGCAGTATGTGTTAAAAATAAGTTCATAAAGCAGGGTACTTTTACTCAGTGCTTATCATTGTACTTGCATTGGTTTAAAAGACTAAAGTAAATATACTCAAAACATTGCTTTCTATTAAATAAAGCAAAATCTTTCCATAAAAAGTGATATTTTTCTGTAACTGTACTTATTTTTAAGTCCTGGAGCCCTTTAGTAGTTTGAAAGTTTGTTCATTTATATCTGTTTCTGCTCACAAAATTGCTTTCTTGTATAGTTAATGTATGAAATAGTTAAACCAATTTGGATAGCTATCTGAGTACCATCAGCTTTTTAAAATAAGTGGTTTATTTGGGTATAAAAAGTGAATACTTAAAGATTCATGAATGATAGTCCCCTGGGGAATCTATAAAATATGCAGTCACCTTGAAAAATACTATCACTTAAAATCCAGGTCTTCTGAAAATTAAAGACCATAGTGAGTTTTAAGTATTTTCGTTTAGGATATTATTGGTATTGCTTGATCAATGACGTTTTGAATTGCTGATTCATATAAAAAGATTTTATAGTAATAGATGTGTATTTTATGCATAGTAAACATTTGTCTGGAAAGGAAACATGTTGAAAGTTAATCATGGTTGATTCAGTTGACAGCCTGTCTTTCTTTGCATCAAGTAGTTTAAGGGACATCTATTGAGCACATTTGGCCTTTATAAGAGGAGAGTTTTTGGAATAACTACTGGGCCACGGCACAGCTAAAGTGGAAAGGTACAAACTTTCCCTTATAAATATCAGGAATCAAAGAGCTCCTGGAACTTGAAAATTACTTTATTTTGGTGTGATTGGGGGGTGGTGGTGTGTTCACTTTGCATGAAGAAACATTTTTCCTAATACCAGACTCTGCAAACACACGAGTTGGCAGCTCATCATAACCCATGGCCCTTCCTGGAAAATAAAAAATTTTTAAATGAAAGAATGCTTTATAAAATAGTAATTCAGTATCATTACTTTGGAAAAGTAGTTTTGTGCAACTGTTGGGTCAAAGGACACAATAGAAATTCTGAATGGTGAGTAGGGTATTTGAGTATTGTTCATTATCTTTTTCTATAAAAAAGGTAATTAACTATGCCCTTCTAGGTAATCTGTGTTGAAAACTGGTTTGCCCTGATTAAAACTGGTTAGTTATGCAGTGGATAGCCTAAGGCTGACAGTAGGCATCTACTGAAACAGTTATTTCATTTGTATTTTAAAATACCAAGTTTTTGTTTCAATATTGCCATATGTTATAGTTTATATTTTCATATATTTTATTTCATTGTGTCTATTTTGCTTTTTAGTTTCAGAACAACATAATGAAGGTTAGTCTTTCCTAGTCCTTTAAAGATCAGGAAGATGAAGTTAACAAAGTTAAGACTGTGTTGTGCTACGCCCAACACACATTTTAGCTTCATAATCTGATTTTCACAGACTGACACAGCATCACTGACCAGAGGAAAAGCTAGATGTAACTAACTTCACATGTCTGTGTTCTCCTAGGGGATTCCGCCACCTCTGCCCTTGGAATGCCTGGTACATAGTAGGCCTCTTGTATGTTGCTGACACCTCTCCCCACCCCCTCATCTACCCCAATTATTTTATAAAATGTATCTGGTAGCAGTCTTCCTGGGGTGCAGAAACTGATTTCTGACCTTGCAAAATTTATCTTGTCGAACAAAGGAGATGCTTGTGAAAGTCCCTTAATTTGATGATTGTTGTTAATGACCACAGTTACCATTAGTAGTGATCATTACAGTTACATATCTTGTCAAGTTGTTTAAAGTAATTTAGAGATGTGGCTCATGAGACCCCAGAGGTCAGACAGATGCTGCCTGACTTCTGAGAAAGGAAAAAAGCAGCCTGGCCCCTCCCCTTCTGCCTGCCTGCCCCTACTAGAATTGCTGACGCAAGTTTTCATTCACAGCCTGAATCCTGTTGCTTCCTTAGCAGGTACTAACGTTGAAAAAATTGTTGATTCGCTTCGAAGTCTATGGTTAAATACAGTATAATTATTATCAACCATACCTTGATTTCTAAAGAAGGAATTGATATACAAGCATATTTGGCCCTCCCTGATAAATGGTTCATACAGGAATTTTTATTTAAATAGCATTTCGAATGTGCACATAGACTTGTGGTAGTAAATTGTGCTGTAAAGGGAAAAATGCGAACCTTTCTGTGAATGTGAGGTGCCTTGTAAAGGGTTGCCCATTTATACTTTCAGTCCCTTTGAATAGCTTTAATCGACATTTGGTAGGATGTTGGTTAGAAACTAAGAAGCAAGTATGAACTTAATAAAATGAAGGGAAAGAGCTTCTGCTATAGCAAGTGAAAAATATTTTTAAATGATTTACATATGTGTATTCCTAAGTTAGCCAGGAACTTTTTTAATTATGGAAAATACTGTCATTCTTCCATATGCTGAAACTCTCCCTCAAAAACTGTCAACAAGTTGCTGAATTCCTCAGCCAGTGAAGAGTGGATGAGTGATTCTTTGTTGAGGGCTGCAGTTTTCAATCAGATGAAATCAAATGCAGGATTTCAAGCCTGTAGTACAGTCGGGAAAGGAAACGTCATGAATAACTAACAGAAACAAAAAAGATCGGTTTCCAGCTCTTTTCAGAATTTTATATGCACGGAATTTGGTTGGTGGTGAAGCCTCAAAGGGACTGTTTTCACTTATAGTTCTGTCAGCCTCATGAGCTACACATGGTTTACATTGTTACAGAAAAGCTAATTTTTCTTTGTTCACATGTGTTGCCTCAGACAGCCAATACGCATTTTAGATTTGCTGGCTAGACACTTCCTGATGCAAGCTGTGGCTAAGACAAACAGAATTTTACAGTAACTGTCAGCCAGTATCCTGTCCTACTTGTTTATTTAACAGCTTTTCATTTTATAATGTTGCTTCTCATACTTTCCCTTCTTTTACCCTAGAACTTTCATTACCTTAGTAAAATTTTGTTCAGCTACAGGAATAAATTTGAAGGCCTGAAACCTAGAAGCGAAGCATTTTAAACAGAGAGCACTTTATGGAAAGAAAAAGGTCATGTATTTGCTAAAGTTGGAAGAAGACGAACATTGCTTCTTTCTGCCAAGGTTTCTTAAAAATTTGGACATTCTGCTTCAGTAGCACTTCTTTCAAGAACTTATGCCCTAATTTCTGGGTTTGGAAGATGTGGGAATCCAGCTTCTATGTAGATGCCATGAATAGCCCAAAGACATCAGAGAGTGTACATTGAGATTCCAGCTGTGGGCCAGACGGTCTGGATTTGGTAACATGGGCTGAACCAAGTGGGAATCCAGCGCAGCTGGAGGAACAAGGCAGGATGTCCTTGCTCATCTGCTGTTTCTGTTTTCTTTCTCCAGAGCCCTTGGAACCTCCAGATCGGGGTTTTCAGCTGTGACACTGTTGCCATTTTTGGACTGGATAATTCTTTATTGAGGACGACTGTACTGTGCATTGGGGTGTTGAGCAGCACCCTGCCCCAGTTGTGACGATCAAAACTGTTCTCAGAATTTGCCAGATGTCTCCTGGGCTTGGAGGGTGGACGCAAAACTAATTACCCCAAGTTGAGAACCATTGCAATAGGTGAATAACTTAACCTGAGCAAAATACTGGTGGCTGCCTCTCCTAATTGGGAGGTGTGGATGAGTAAGGGAACTTTAGAGCTGTCAAACACTGGCAGGAATGGAGCCATGGGAATTGAAGGGGAGAATAATAAAGGAAGGCTGTCCCAGGCCTGACAATCAAAAAATTCGATCCTGTTCTCACATTTCTGGCTTTAGTATAATATTAGAGACATTTTTCTTTGCTGTCATAACCAAGCAACTATTAATGTCTAATAAAAACTAAGATTTATCCTCCTAAGCCCTTTATATGTTAACTTAATTGAATACACCAACCCTATGATGTAGGTGTCTTCTTATTATCTCCATTTTTCAGATGGGGAAACTGAAGCACAGAAGGGTTTGGTAAACTGCGTTGCATCTAGCAGGATTCACATGCATGTCACATGCAGGCCTTTCAGCTCTATTCTAGGCCTTTTCTTATAGGAGCTTGACATTGCCTCCAGAGATGAGCTAGATGACAGAGCACCTGCGTGTCCCGCAGCTATGAGACGTGTACCAGGCGCTCCTGCAGTGCCTTCTAAGGGGATGCGTGTGCTGAGCCTAGTCGCTCAGTCGTGTCCGACTCTGTGCGACCCCTTGGACTGTAGGCCGCCAGGCTCCTCTGTCCATGGAATTCTCCAGGCAAGAATACTGGAGTGGGTAGCCTTCTCCAGTGGATCTTCTTGACCCAGGAGTCAAACTGGGGTCTCCTGCATTGCAGGCGGATTCTTTACCAGCTGTGCTGGTAAGCCCTTTTAAGGGTATACCAGGCACCAACTCTGCCTCTTGATTTCAAATCTACTCTTCATTGTCCTGTTTGTGATCCTAGAGCTGGGCCCCATAAGCACTTCCCTTTAGCCAGCTAACTGCCACTGGAGGGACCCTGAAGGAAGTGGAGGCTTTGTTCCGTGAGTGTCTCTGTGTTCTTGTTCCTGCAACGAATGCTCAGCTGGGGTGTGGGAAACCCACGGGCCCACGTTTCAGCACAGCAGCGTCCAGTCCCACAGGTCTCCTTGCTGGCTACCCTTGGACTGTAGCCCGCCAGGCTCCTCTGTCCATGGAATTCTCCAGGCAAGAATACAGGAGTGGGTAGCCTTCTCCAGTGGATCTTCTTGACCCAGGAGTCAAACTGGGGTCTCCTGCATTGCAGGCGGATTCTTTACCAGCTGAGCTGGTAAGCCCTTTTAAGGGTATACCAGGTACCAACTCTTTGCCTCTTGATTTCAAATCTACTCTTCATTGTCCTGTTTGTGATCCTAGAGCTGGGCCCCATAAGCACTTCCCTTTAGCCAGCTGACTTTGCCACTGGAGGGACCCTGAAGGAAGTGGAGGCTTTGTTCCGTGAGTGTCCCTGTGTTCTTGTTCCTGCAATGAGTGCTCAGCTGGGGTGTGGGAAACCCACGGGCCCACGTTTCAGCACAGCAGCGTCCAGTCCCACAGGTCTCCTTGCTGGCTGCACAGTTGATTCAACAATACGTCCTGCAGGAAGCGTCCTGGCTGGTGCCCAGCAGGATTCCCAGTGAATTCGGCAGCATCCCTGGGCTTGGACCCCTGGTGAGTCGACCAGCCTGTCAGGGGGAAGTTTCTGGTTCTCCAGTGCCCTGTTGGGGAGCTTCTCTCTTGTTAGCACCTCAGGGAGCTTCTTGACCTCTATTGGAGCCATAGCCTTACCCTCCCCAACAAGGTCAGAATCTCAGCCTTGGGAGCAGGGCTGGTGGGTGGTGGTGGTGAACAAGCACTCACCACCTTGATCCTTTCATCTGCCTCAAGCTCTAATAGTAAATAACCATCCCAGTGTCTGCTATTCCTGTTTTCTTTAGTAGCTACGCCCATTACTATTTATAACTTCATATATACATACATTTTTCTCTCTATAAAGCTTCCCCATATAAATTTATAAAGCGTCTCCATTCAAATTACTCTGTGGTTACTGTCTCTGTACAAAGTGCCAGGCATTATTCCAAGTACTTTGCAAATATTAACTTATTCAATCCATGTCGCAACCCTTCGAGGTAGGTATGGTTATTAGTCACATTTACCTGTGGAGAAATGGAGATGTTGAGCTGTTTAGAAATGTGTCCACATTGACACAGCCGGGAGGTGGTGGGACCCAGATATGAATCCAGATAGCCTGGCCCCAGGGCTGGGACTTCAGCTGCTCCTCTCTTCCCATCTTCTCCAGAATTGACAGACTGGATTATTTTGCACAAGTCATTCACATTCCAGAATTCTCTAGCACATTAGAGTTGGTCATTCTTTCATAGTTGCTCTCTCTTCCTTGTATTTATTGAGTACCTCCTATGTGCCAGGTCTTCCCTTGTAGCTCAGATGGTAAAGAATCTGCCTGCAGATGGAGGAGACCGGGTTTGATTCTTGGGTTGGGAAGATCCGCTGGAGGAGGAAATGGCAACCCACTCCAGTATTCTTGTCTGGAGAATCCCATGGACAGAGGAGCCTGGTGGTCAACAGTCCATGGGGTCGCAAGAGTCGGACATGACTAAGTGACTAAACCACCACTATGTGCCGGCACTAGCAGAGGAGTAATGGTGTTATTGGCCAGCTTAATGGTAATTTACGAAAAGTACATGTTCTCCCAAAAGACTAGGAATAGGTAAATCTAACTCAAACTTAAGTTAGAGTAGTTTTCTGTCCTTGACAGAAA